GTAGTCATTTACACGATGAAATGGAACAGACGGATCGGTTGTCTTGAAGTCCTAGCTCCCCCCTAGCCCGATAACCTCCAGGGAGGACTACAAGGTGGACAGTCCGCTGGAGTAACAGGGAAAATGCCAGTTAATTATGCACGACAAGCTGATTCGAGCTTGAGGTGGAATAGAATAGAATTAAATTGAAGTCCCTACTAAGCCTATGACTAGGAAGGATTTGCAAAACTAGACAAAACGCTACCAAAATTAACTTGATTTTACGTGTGGGTTATCTTCAACTTTTTTCCAATAGACATGGTCGGTCTTGTCCTAAAGCCTGAGATTGAAGTTGGAATTTCCCTAGCGACTACAGAGTTGAAGTCCTATTTCGTAATAGAAAGCGTTCCGTTGTGTAGTTTGCATTTCAGGCACCGACCTCGTCTCTTCATTTTATGGGCAATGAGATCGATATAATCTCTACTCTCCAAGGCTCAGCACGAGAAATCAGTTAGTATGCTGTTGGCTGTTGGTGCCTCGGAGGGGCATTCTTTTAAAACAGCGGGTGATATGCGGCTTTTTCGCTACGACGAGTAATCAATATATTTTTGACATGTAAAATGACTCGTAAATCGAGACACATTTTCTGCATGACAATCGTGAATGACAGGGGTACGAGAGCTCAAAATCTGTCAGCCGTGGCCCCTGCGAGTCTCCACATCTCACTGTTGGGCCTGTAGAGGCGAGATTGGATAAAAACGTCCGCACTTCGCCGGGGATCTTCAATCGCTTTGGCCATTTACACCGTCTTCATTTTTCAGCAAATCTCTCTAACTCCACAACCATAGGCTTACCACCATTAGGTCTTTTTTTTGTCATTTAATGTGTATGCAGCTATGTAGCTATAGCACGTGACCGGTGCTTTGTTTACATATTGGATGACTCTTATGACGTTAGAGACACTCATGCTCTAGATTTCATTCTTTTCTTTTTTTTGCATCAGATTTTAATTGAGTATGCAGCTATCTAGCTATGACACAATATCAAAAAAAAGTACAGAAAAGATGACTCAATTTACAAGAGGAGCACTCATGCCTCGGATTTCATTTGCAAGTACCACTGCGAAGTTATGGTGGCTTTTTCTTCACCCCAAGCCAACCCTCATCCGTGAATACCCACCCAGGGGAACATCTAGATTTCATTCGCAAATACCACTATTAGGTATGTTCGCTTACACAAACTGTCGACCCTCCTCCGTAAGTACCCGCCAAAGGAAAATTCAAAACCTTTGATTTTTCAAGTATTTCTACGTCATGCATATATACCAGCGTCGCGAGAAATGTGGTTGTGTTTTGCCGGATTCAAACCAGCGATCTACTGTCTCGAGTGGGATATGTGTTCAAGCTGTCCGGGCTCTACTTGGCAGACCGGCCAAGACGATGTACCACCGCACCATCCAACCATGGCGATGTTTATAGCGTCGCCTGCACTTTCGCAAGCGTGGTCTTGGCGTAGAGAAAGCTCAATTCGTAAAACTCCTTGCCAAATTTCGAAATTTCACGATCGTCGAGGTTGTATCCTTCCTTCGCATCATCTTGTGGACTTGTCCTAGTACATCTCACATCTATCCCAAAGAGCTGTCTCCCACATATGTGGGCCACGCTTTGCTCCCTCCGTCGGGTGTAAATATCGGCGTGGGCGTGTAATTGGCGGCCAGCTGAAGCCAGAGAGAGTCGACAAGAGGTGTGATTATTAGAACCAGGACGCACTAAGTCGTACTTGTAGACTTGATGAAGCTAAAGTAGGATTCGATCTCTTTGGGAGTGAAAATTTGACGTGGTGGAGTAATTTGAATCATTGCCTCGTGGGCCAACTTCTTTGATATTGCGAAATTTGACTGAACATGGCTCTAGGAGAATATATCACACTCAGGTTTGTAGAGGACACCGCGTACAGGTGTTCAGCCTTGCCCTCCCACCATCAGATCACATGGTATGGGTAGAAGCCCTTTTCATCACCCACCCTTGATCATGGAGGAGGAGCCACCCGATGAGTTTCCGGAGCATACCCAGCACTCGATACGGCGATGGTGGATTGGACCAAGTCGACCTCGAATGTTGCGAAGATAAGATGTAAGATGGATATGTGCACCTCGTATTTAGGGCCGCAGGTATTTTTGGAAATATTTCCCGCGCACGCAGTTTCCATTGCCACCATTTTTATTTTTTATTTATTTTTTGGGCAGAAGGTTCCATGGAAGATGTGGCTAAATCCCACGGAAAAAAAAATTTCTTAATGAGTATTCATCACAGGTAACATATCTATGATTTTTTAAGTAGTGAAAGAGAGTAAGAATACTGGAGACGGAGTGGCCTGGGTTGGGGAGGTGCCCAACGTGCTGTATAGTTGTCGACTGAGGTGGAGCAATAGACTACACACATACACATCACCTTGGAGGGTATTAAGATCTATCAATGTATTATGACACCTTATTCATGAGGTTTTCAAGTGCATTCCTCCTACTTCACACCATCAAACACGAGCAACTGGATTGGACTCTAAGGATCCAGCTTCACTTGACTTAGCTATACATTTTTTGGGTTAACGGTTTACTAGACGAATACTCTCCTCACGCCTCGACTAGAGCTCAAAGTCGTGCGTGGGATGGGGCAAGTCAAGCCATAGTCGCACATCTCGGTCCGTCCAGCTACATTAAAGATATCCTAATGAAATTCATCGCATTCAACGTAGATCGTGGCTCTCCCAAGACTCTTCCCGGCATCCTTCGACCTCGGACTGCACGGCCCGCGCCAGGTCTCTGGGCCCATCGACCTCGGATGGATATCACACTCCATGTGTTCCGATTGGCCACCGTGAAAGAAATCCACTGCATACTAACAGTCAAAGGTTTCCATCGATTCGCACCCCATGGTTCCTCTGGCGTAGACAATCTTCGCCTACCGCTGTATGATCGCCACCTGGGTACTGGTCATTCGCCCCAGACCAGAAAAAAGTTGAAATTTACCCATCATATTTGCAGGTAGCTAGGGACGTAGCACGTTCGGAGAGGCGACGATGCACACAAACCTAATAGCTTGAATTAAAATCGTATGTCCCGCAGATGAACGCCTGACTGACACTCATCCCACAGCGTGGAAATGATACAGTTTGCCATCATTACCTGTTCGCTGTCCTCTCGTTCTGGAACATTCTAGACATCCTCGAGATTGGACTAGCTCGTTTGGGCATAAGCTGTCTCCGGGGGGGGGGTACGTGCACATTACCGCAGGCGACAGCAGGACGATGAGATCATCGACATACTTAGCCCGCTCCACAGAGGCCACAGAAATCAATCGGCCTACCCGCCATTTCTTTTCGGGCCGCATCGACTTCCACCCGGTCTAGATCATGTGATCCATCAACCCGCCAGGCTTGTGATGAATCACGAGAACAATGCTTCACCCACCCAGATTCCTTGTCGCACTGGCCTCTTCGTCTCCCGCAATTTCAATGTGTCCGGATCCGCTAAGGCGTCGATTTGGATGCTCTTAGCGTGGCAGGTTAATCGTTAGTTGGAGACCGGTACGGCCGAGACGTCGCCAGAACACTTCTGAGCTCGGGGATGGGGTTATTCAGAGATTATCTACGCGTGGGGGATGATGGGCTATCATGAAGATGAAAAATAGCTTGTACGAGCAATTGGTATGCTCTAGCATACCCTCTAAACCGGTGGAAGGCCGGTAGGACTCGTCGTGATACTCGAGGTGCGCACCACATTGCACACTCTTGGCTAGATATTTCTAACGGTTCATTCCATAAATGGGTTGGCGATGCAGCATTATCATTTTCTCCATAGCTCCGGCAAGAGAATTGGGTTAGCATGTGTCACGTTATTGAGACGTGTGGATGAAGGTGCGAGAAAATATAGACTAATTTTAGAAGAGCTAGGGTTGTACATCGAAGCGAGTCGGCGAGCACAATTTACTGTCACGTGGCACGACCCGGCTACCACGGGCAGAGTTCCGAGCCGCAAGCTTAGTGCACGGGACTTTTCTTCTATTGCATCGGATTTTAATTGCTTATGCGGCTATGTAGCTACGACAAGATATTGGAGCACGAGACATTAGTGGTATACAGTGGTGTACGAAGTTGGTTATTCTGCGATCTGCAAGCTACCCGTTTCTGACCCTTTCAGTCGCCTGTTCGTTGGGAAAGGTAACTTAGATTCCTTCCACGAGCATGTTTCAGCGTGTCATCGCTGAGCAAAGGAGATACCCAAACAGTATTGTCATTTATTGCATTCATCAGCCATTAGCTCCTCGAGATAGCCGTACAGCAAGCATATGCTCAACCATGTTAGGTATTTATAATTGTCACTAATCAAAAAATCATATTTGACCTCTCGAGTAAGTAAGAGATCGGGACCAGCTCCAGAGCCTACATGGCTTTGACCATTCAACAGGAAACTAAAATTCACAAATCTACTTGAGCCAGCCTATCTTTCCAATCTATCGAAGCATGATTTTCGTTAAATGCCACCACTCGTTTAATTTTCGGCAAATAAGATCCATCTCATCCACGGGTGTTGCAATTATTTCGGTCCAGTCGTATAGTCTGCCTGACTAGCTGGTTTGCTACAGTTGTAGGTTAGACGTATATTTCCTAGTTCACTAAGAGTAGATAGTAGACGCTGAAAAAAATTGATGAAATTAATATAGTCAGAATCCATCCGTAGAGTTTGAATTTCTCTCGATTACGCCGCTATAGACAAAAATCCCATTAAATTAGTCACAAAAAGCTTAGGGTATCCAGTCAGCCTTCATTGGATCGTAGGCGACAGTTAGTAAGCAAAATCTAAACAAGCAAAGCCATGAATACACCTTCCCAAACTACACCATCGTCATATCATCCTTTTTCGTAAATAATCTGCTAATTAACCTGTATCTTTGCAACCACAATCGAGCTAGCTTCCAAATTATTTAAGGATGCCATACTAGTGAGAATGCTATCAATGAACATCTTTACATTAGTGTGCTCATGGAGAGACCGTGGTGAAGCAAACCAGGATCTTGTAGGCGTTCAGCTACTTTGTCACACTCATACTTCGCTGCTGCGAAATCATCTTCAGGGGTCCTAAGACCAATTCCGCTATCATCGTGGTTGACTATATTGTTCGTGTCACCCTGATCGATAAGTTCTGAGTGGGAGAGCATAGATATACTGCCGTCAAGGTTGTTGGAACTTCTTAGAACATCATCACTCCCGTTGTTGTACTGACCGTTATGGTAAGTGTGTTCTGAATTAGTCGGGTGTGGCTCACTGGACTGTCGTCGAGAGTCACTCGAGGTCTTTTGCTCCATGAAGCCACCCTGTTCTGCCATGAACACAATCATTTCATCGATCCAACACTTCGTCACCCACCAAGCACCGAAGCTCTTGCCCTGAGATATTGTGATGTCTCTCATTACTGCTGTTCCAACACTTTGTACACACCAGACAATTTCAGAATGGCTTGCATATGGAAACTTTGCTGGTAGAGAAGCTAACAAGTTAACCCATCGGTCGAGCACATTTTCAATCGTTGATTCAGGTTGCTCGCTGGCTTGAAATTGTCGATTACGAAGAGCCATTTCTCCGTAAAGAGTTCTACTTTCTAACTCCCAGTCAACATTTACTGGATTTAGTAAATTCCGAAGCTCGCTTAGTAACACTTTTACGACATCATCCATACCCCTGGTGGGAACACATTCAGCTATTTTCCTTGTACGAACCATTGTGATCCATTCCTCGTACATTTGATCACGATTGGCGGGATTAGATAGCATATTAGCTGCTGCGTGGGCAGTCAAATTTACTCTTAATTCTCGGTCCAAGAGACCTGCAAAGAGTGTTGCAGGTGCAGCCTTGGCTTGGAGAACATGTGCCGGATGCCCCTGGAAACAACTGTGGATGTGGGATACAAGTCTTTCGGATATATTTCGGAGAGAGTCAAGTACTGGCTTTGGTGCAACTTGAAGGGTCAGCGGAGCGACGACCCGCATCATCTTCTGATACATTGCGAAATCACATTCTTCTATCCAAGGCGCTATTTCTCTGTGTGAAAACAACTTTTGGACTGGCATAGTAAGCGTGCCATGGAAGGAACTGAAAAGATGGAAAAAAGTCTTCTCCTTGCAGAATCGTAGGGCGTCTACTAGCGAAGTGCAGTGTGAGCGGTATAGAGCGGTTAGAGCAGAGGCCGAGTCAGGATCTGTACCAATGGGAATGTGACGATCGATCTTGGGTAATTCGATGGGCTCATTTCCAGATGCGGTCTGTTCATGAAGTGGACTGAATCGAAGAGGTTGTGATATTTTATTTGACCAACTCTCCAATTGCGATATGCTTGAGACGTCGGGTCGATGGTAGAGGCTATGAGGCCGAACGTAACTCTCTTTTTTTTGTGGCAATACAGCTGGCATGTGCTGAGAACGAGGTGGTGACTGACCTCTTCGGCCATTTTGATGCGATGGCTTTGTCGGCACGCTGTCCCTCAGATTAGTGAGGACTTCTAACAATTTTAAAGGAGAACAAACTTGAAACCATTAACAAAGCTATGCGGAGGTTCACTAGTGTTTTGAACAATCTGAATCTTTTGCGAATCAGTAAAGTCGGGCTGATCGTCCGCTAAGCTAAAATTAACGTAGTGATATTTAGATTCACCTCGTACTCCTAATCGTCGAGTTTTGAGACCTGGGAACAGGACGCGAACAAGTTTCCCGAAAGAAGCTGGATTTAAAACGGTTACGCGCTCTGTAGCACATCTAGAGACATAGTTTGAATACACACGTCCTCTTGGGACAGATCCTTTTCCTTTGCTGCATACTTGATTTATCCTAAAATAATATATGTTAATCTATACTTGTTCATTCTGAATAGTTTTAACTCACCATAGCATGGCAAAAACTTGTCGCTGTCGTTCGGACTGAGGGCCACGTTCGTTACCGTGGAGCTCAGTTGCGATATCGGGTAAGCTACGGTGTTTGTTTGCCTGAAAGAGCTGCCGCATTTCTAATTCATTGGCTGCACTCGACTTGGACGCTTTCTTGGTGGTACCGCTAGCCCCTGCCACTGATTCAATTTCTTCTTGCTCATCACTGCGGCCATCAAGGATGTGAGAGTCACCATCTGCATAATTAACATTATAAACATCGGTGAGAATGGGCTGCCGTCCCATTTCTGGCCTGTAAGGCATCTCCTGATGATAAGCTAGACTTCCATTGTGTTGTGGGTTTCCAAGTGATGGATCAATTTCGTACTCTCTTGAATTCTGGAGATGAGGTACGCTCTGCATGAAAATATCTTCGGTTGTCATTTGATGACCTAAACTTCCAAACCTTGGCTGAACATGAGTGTTTTGTTCAAACCACTGTCTGTGAAAATCTGCCGTGGCGGAGTCTGCCACATGCTCTACAACCGCTTGAGTTGTACCACTCCTTACACTCGCAGTCGATGTACGGGAGAGAGGACGTTTCTTGGTTTTGGCAGTCGCAAGATTTCTGGAACGAGACTGTGCATTGACGGATCTTATTTCTAATGCTGTTTGATCTGTTTGGGTAGGTCGTGTTAGTAGATTTGGAAACAATAATGACAGCGAGATAAATGTTATAAGGCATTTTCGAGTTGTTACTTACCCATGGCGCTGGAAAATATTTATTTTCTCGTGGACGTTTAAAACTACTTTAATGCTGGCTGTGGTTGTGGGTTAGATACAATTGTATAGGCCGATTTTTGTTGGCCAATAGTAAGCCAGATATTCGTCTATTAACGCGTCATTCGTATATCTTCAGGCCTTAGGACCAGATACAATATAGTAACTGGTGTCGGGTGAGGATATCGAGCTACGGTTGAGTTGTTGCAATGGAAGAATATTGACTGAATTGTTTACCTGGGTTGTTGGAGCAATAGCTCAGGTGTTTAAGATGAGATATTATGTAAGCATTTTCGTAATTTGAGTTAGCGACGACTTGAGATAGTGCAAAAGCTAGAGCCACGGGGAACAAATTTAAAAGGGTTACAGCACCTTCGACGGTCAACTAACAACAACGCAGATTACTAGAGCAGGGGTAAGGGCATACACCTGATAAGTAGGATTTTATCGACGTCACTTAGATAAAGAAAAGGAGTGTGAAATATGAGGATGAATTTCTAGCCCTGCTGCCATTGTTACAGTGTCAACTGCATGAAATTTTTTATTGCTAAGTGCCGAGTAATCTTATTTACCTCATGAATCATTATGCACATCTCGTGATGTACCTTAATAACTTGAATCAACATTTTGCCGAGTACTTTGATGCCTTAGTTACTCGTGTAAGCTGGAGGTAAAGGGAACTGATGTATGGTAGGATACTTCAGGTGGTTTTCGACGTAACTAACATTAATGTGGGTTCGAGTGCCTGCCCTAGCGTTTTCGTAATGAAGCGAATGTTAATCGAGCAATCTTGGGGGGTGATTAACACTTGAGATCTGGCACGCGCTAATATTGACAGATACCTTGTTTCACTTCTCATCACCTACCTACTCGAAAGTATCCAGCCCCCCCCCCCACAAAGATTTTCAATCCCACAGCACGTTTCCAATTCAACACATCATCCCGTCCCATAAAAACTCTCTTCGTAGGTTGTCTTCAAAATCTCCTGAGTCAATCTCATCATCAGAATGTCTACCTTCCAAGACAAAGTTCAGATTTACATCGGGCAGATCGATAAAGAGGTGAGATATTCATAACTTCTACGAGTTAACTTTGAGTATCAAGCTTACGTTATTATCTTAATAGCTTTCTAAGTATCCCGCGTTCACAAACTTGGAAAAACACGTCTCTGTTCCCAAAGTATACGTCTTTCTCGGAGTGATAGCAACATACTTCGCGTTTATTTTTTTTAATATCGGTGGACAACTTCTCACCAACCTAGCTGGTTTTGTGATACCAGGATATTACTCCTTGGAAGCCCTATTCAGTGTAGGAAAAAGCGATGATACTCAGTGGCTGACAGTAAGCTACTTTTTCTGCTCTGAATTTGTCGCTAATTCTGTTGATAGTACTGGGTCGTCTTCGCATTTTTGACAGTAATCGAAAGTTTTGTCAGCGCGGTATACTGGTTCCCGTTCTACTACACATTCAAGTTTATTTTTGTACTTTGGCTTGCTCTTCCAGTCACTGGGTAAGATGGTTCGAGCTAAGTTCAGGAATCACTCATCTAATTTATGACAGAGGCGCTCAGGTAGTCTTCAGATCCTTCATTCAACCGGTCTTTTCCCGTTATTTCTCCGGAACTGGCGCTACTGCTGCAAATCTTAGATCCAAGGCTGAAGCGGTAATCGACAAGACAAACTAATCTACAGGTCTTTTCTGCAACCCGTACCCCATATAATCTAGGGACTAAAAAAATCAGATTAATGGAATAGCTATGGTACGGATACTCTAAGTCTTAAATGAGGACAATGAGCGCTACGAAAATCATGTATCGCACGCAACGGATTGATTCTCTAAAATTGTACAATCAGGTAGTGCTAAACGAATGTTTAGTGACTCGTGGGAGCCTCGTGAGATGCGTGAACGGAGCTGGATTAACAGAAAACATGTATCTGATATGGTTATAGAACGAAAGACTTATGCAATACTGTATCCTTCACATATGTTTTGATCTTACAGAATCAAAAAATTCTATTCATTCTGTGCCAGACCCTAGTATCAAGCACAATCATTCGGATGAACATTATTCTCAACTGTAGAAACGGCATTGTTTGGCGGATAGCCCACAATTACTCTTGTACTCGTGATTGAAGCTCTCAGATATCTGCATGTTATCGTAATATACAGTTTAAAATAGATACCCTGCCGCGATACCCCATTCTTAAACTTCTCTAAGCACTGATCAGACAAATTAGCCACCATTTAGATGATATGTTTTATGAAGTAGTACTCTACTACAGGTCATGAAACCCAACTACGTCTTTCCCAAATTGAAGCTTATGGGCTCAGTACAGGAATCAGCGATTCTTACAACACTGCTTTATCTTATTTCAGCCTCAATTATTATACATTCTGGCAATGCTGAGTCAAGACAATCCAAATGCAACAATCAACAATGCATCCCTAGCAGATCAATTTTTGACTCCGTTTCTAACATAACGGGTTCAAAGCAAATTTATGAATCGCAATACCAGAAGATTAACGAAGGGGTAATGGAAAATCAAACTACTGAGGTAATAGACTTGAAGAATAATGTAATGGTACCAATAAATCTTGACAAGGGACGATTTATTTACTTTAAATTTGTCTATTCTTCATCACAGAGTACAGAATCGCAAGTGACTCCGACGTATCCATCTCAGATAGAGCTTTCTGATGGGGATTTGCTTGTGAGAGGATTTGAGTCGAATGAAGACATCATTCCAGATACTTCGGCTGGTCAAGTGAACTTGTCAAATTATCGACAACTATTCATCTCAGCAACGACGTGCAAACAGCCCAGTCCTGCATCTGGAACTGATGACAGTCCTCCTCAGCTCCAATTATACATATCCCTTTCGAAAAATAATACGATGCCAGGCCCCTTGCAGGCCGCAGAGCTTCAGCAAATGGTTGAGCTGTACGAGGGATATGCAATGCTTGCGGTTAATATCACTGATGATGTCTACATCAGTATTTATGCCAAAAATAACTCAAACTTCAATGGGGGCTATACAGCCCAAATTGCCGCATCAATCGACCTTCCTTATCATAAGTATCGGAATAGTTCAGACCCAAATCTCTACATAGCAGACTACGATGGAAACTCGGCATTACTATATTCGGGACCGTTCATTCGCAACGCAAAGAATACGACACTCACTGAAGAATGGATGAATGCGCCACCGCCATTCATTTTGTTCATTAGTGACGATCAGAATAAATACTTACAAGGGGTTCGATTTTCCTATTGTGGTTTGCAGGAGAATGTGAATCTTTCAGGATCTAGTGCAGGAGTAGCAAGTAATATGGTTACAAGTATCACGATTCAAGGAAAATCTAATCGGCCCAGGCAACAGTTCTACATGGATGGATTGAGTGCTGGTACTACTTATACTGTAGCATTAGCAGTGAATGGCAATCCCAAAGGGACTGAGGGTGCAATTATTGGTGGTGGTGGGACAGTGTTCAACCCGACAAGTTTCACCACCCTTACTGGTAATGACCTTCTGAATTAGATTACTGTCACTATAACACATTGCTAACATTTATAGGCGGAAATTGCGGGTTGATTTATGGTCTAACCTTCTGTGACCAGGTCGCATATAGCGTACCTTCTAATCCCAATAGGATCTCTACCGCATCTTCACTGGCTGCATTCTATGATAACAGTACTAGAGCAATCTACGCTAATTTTCAGAGGGTTCTAGCGCAGACTCCTTGCGAAATAACTTCGTCTGCTCAGTATTCCCTCGTAAGAACGTGTCATGATTGTGCGGAAGCCTATAAAGCCTGGCTTTGCGCAGTCAATATTCCTCGTTGTACTGACATGACCTCCACTCTACCTTGGCTACAGACTCGCGCCGTTGACCAAGCCTTCCCAAACGGAACCTATCTTGATCCTTCCTTGATAGACGTCAGTGGCTATGGTACAACCGCTGGTAAAAACTCACGAAACACAAATATCGATCAATTTATCAACCCTGGTCCATACAAGGAAGTTTTACCTTGCCAAGAATTGTGTCATACACTTGTGTCGAGTTGTCCAGCGTCAATAGGATTTGACTGTCCTAGGCCTGGCCAGATAGGGTTTAATACATCATACGGTCATATGCCTACAGGCTCAGTCGATGATGGTGGAAGAAATACAAACATTACCTGCAATTTTCCAGGAAAAGTTTATTTTTCAAATTCAAGCAAAGTAATTTTTTACCTTCAAACTTTTATAATTACAGCCATTGTTATTCTGACAATAGTATAAATACTAATGGTAAGAATGTATTTTTGAATCATTGATGTTGCCATAAGTAATGGTCTGGTATTAATTCTCATGAGCGTTTTTACACAATTGAGACGATTGAAATGAAAGGAGATCAGTTTTTGAAAATAGTAAGTGGAATAAGTAATTATTTAGAGGCACACATGTAATAGCGTTTTCCGTTTTCTCGATTTATTTAGGGTAGGAGTATCTTGGGATTTGATATTACGACCATTACAAGTTATCAAAACATATCATTATTCAATTCTTTAGGGAGAGAGGCTCATAAGCATATTTCAACAAACAAAACGATGAGACTATGATGGTTAATGTACTGGTTCGTGACATTAGAATTTCAAATTACCAGTTGATTTTATCAAAAATGCCTTAATCTCAAATATTAAACCTTACGATATACTAGATTCTAAGAAACATAACCTAAATTCAATAGAGTCTTATTCCTATTTGTATCAAGATTCCTACATGTTAAGCGAATTAGTCATGCTCCAATGTCCCAAACGACGTAGGAAACTGTAGCTTGAGCCGTGACTCGTACCATCTACTTCAGTGCCTTGCGGAGTTAAATAAACGTGTCGTACAATCTCTGCGCAGTCTTGTTGGTAACTGGTATTTCTATGCATGCTCACGGGGGTATTAGAGGTGATTGGACATGCCCAGGCATTTGTGATGGCTTTCTGTGCCAGCGAGGGGATCTAAATGATAAAACAATCGAACTCTAGGGCGACAGAGAGACCTAAATATGTAAAAATTTACATGCTTTACACAGAAACCGGGCACCAGCTCCCTGACTAAGCAAACTCGCATTGATGTGATGGATTAATATAGCGAATTACACCGAAGGATTAGGTACCGTAAGCTAAATGTTAACTATTTCCATCCACGCATCTTCGCTTAGTGCTACAGCGTGCAAATTAAGTACAAATTGGAACTAACAAGCAGTATTTTTGCTTTACACATCACATTGAACTTGACTTGGAAAGTTGCCAGTAACAGCTGATCAGTCTAGAGGATAAGGTGTTGAGTTTGAAGTGGATTTTCATTGAGTAACAGCGTGAACACCGGGCAAGTGCGTTTGGGGAGGAAATAGAATCACTTCCAAGGCAGATCTACGACTGTCCCTCCCCTGAAATGGAACGAGAGCGGAGAGGTTAAGGAGGGGCGGTGTTGGGTTTGAAGAAGGGTTGCCTTATGGCGTTTGGCTCCGTGCAGGCTTTGGGCGCGTCGTCGGGAGATCCCTGATTATCGAATCAAACGCGTCGGGCACTGGCATGGTGGACATGGGGTGACGAAATCTGTCGCATCGTGCGAGATCACGGGAATGCGAGCTGCACCTTGTTTTTCAGTAGGCATTTACCGTGTTATTCAAGATGAAATTTCATGCATCTTCTATAACCTTGCTGTGGTGAAAGATCGCAATTGTATGGGACGGTGCAATTAGTAGGAAGCATGGAAAGACCATTCCACGCCCGTGATGCTGTTCATTATGACACGCAGATTCAGTGGAGATAACCATCTCACCTTGAGCCAAGCATCAAGTTAGAGGACAACATCTTTCATCATGGACGCAGAAGCAACAGGGCTAGCTGGTCGTCGGCAAGGCTCAGCCGATGGCCACGGAAGTCTCCTGCCAAGAGGTTTACCACCCAGTTAGTACTCAAAACTCTCAACCGCTGGCATCATGCCGCAGCTCAACGCGGTCAATTTTTCATAACTCAAGCACTCGCGCACACACGGACCGTTGACCTGGGCTCACCGATCCATCGACGACGTCACCCTAAAATTACTCGCTCCTTTCCATTCCTTCGTTGACGCCCGTCTGAACACTTCCTCCTTCGTCCACTATTTCTCTTTAATAAAGTCATCACCACCTTTACCACCTACGGCTCTGCTTACGAATTTAGTCAGCAGTGATTTCCCATTCCCTTCGTTCAACGGGTATCGGACATAAGCTCTATCTCAATACCCTGCTAAACATTCTTGACCTGAAATTTCCAACCCCGGATCCCTTACCTGGATTAATTGAACTATCTAATTCGAGCCACAACCATTTCAAGAGATAATACAACCCATACTTATCTCCGCCTGTGCTCTGTCACGAGAAGGATAACGTAGAATCCTAGCCTGAACCAGGATACTTTCCACCATCTCCCCGCCCCGAAACTGCCTGCGGGTATCTGGCACGCACGAAGACTAACACTCCCTTTCCCCAATTAACAGGCCGCTGCCGCTCTCTTCGCTTCAACCTCCTACCAAAAGTGGCTCCAATCTGCAACCCAGGGTCCTCATTTTGAAATTTATGAATCTTCCCTCCATTCTTCATCCTTCGCCTTTCCGGAATTCTCTTAAACAAAACAGCTTGTTTGAGTGTCGCATGATCTCGCCTTTACCTTTAGCCCATAATCATTTTCTCGCCCCACCCAGTCATTACTTCCACGGTAACCGAAACTAAACTCCGGTCGAAGCCGTCCTAGTGGTGTCTAGATTCATTGTTGCCAGCCCTGCACACCTCCGAAGAATGTTAATCCAAGCCCTACGCATCCCATCTATATCATAATTCATCGCTAGAAATTTTCAGAGTGAAAACTAAAATTGAGTCTTGGTAAGTAAGACAGCTCGGCTGCAGAGTTTGGCCTATCCTCTCATAGGATTATAGCTAATAATCTGCTCCTTACCTACAGCTTCAGCGCACATCGAAACTATCTCACTCGTCAAAATTCCATTCGCTCCTCAGCAGTATCATTTCTTTCAATAACTCGCAATGTCCTCTGTTCGTCGCAGGTCACCATTGCTACAAATTTATCAAGACTCATATCCTTTTGATCAGGCAGTTACAACTGACGCACGAGAACGTGCACCCCAAAGTTTACCGCCACTTCGTCCCATGAAAAATGCATCATCTAGAACTAATACTTTCCTCGGGCAGCCTCAACTACTACAACCTGCAAAGCAGTCATCCCCACAAAAATCATTGAGAAGACTACCTAGGTCTCCCGCTGCTCTATTTTCTAACAGTAAATTGAATACGGTTTCAATGCCACCACCATCTAACTCAAATGAACTAGCCACGGATTCAATGATTAAAAAGCAGCCGCCTATATTAAAATTTAAGCCACGTAAAGTTTTGTTTACAACGTCTGATAGCAATCCAGGAAATACGAAAGACAACCAGACTCATCTCCAATCCTCTAAATTTACAGCTTCACAAGAAGTTTCTTCCCTATATCATAGGTCACCCACATGCCTAGAGGCACCTCTTGAGAGGTTAAACTCGGGCTCAAACGTTCTGCCGAAAAGACTCTTAGATGCGGCACCCATACATGATTCTAGGCCCGTTAAGAAGGTTAAGAGAGAAGAAGTGGAATCCGAGAATTGTGAGCCTACTGAGATACCCAGTCCCAATTCCTTTCCACCAATTTTTGATGATGGTACAAAGCCACCCCATAGCTATGCTCAACTAATTGGGATGTCTTTACTAAGAGCACCTACACGCCGTCTAACCCTCGCCCAAATATATAAATGGGTATCGGATACCTACAGATTCTACACACCCACAGATGCGGGATGGCAAAATAGCATTAGACATAACCTAAGCTTAAATAAAGCATTTATTAAGCAAGAAAGACCAAAAGATGATCCTGGAAAGGGGAATTATTGGGCAATAAAAGCTGGATCAGAGTATCAATTTCTTCGAGATGTACCTACCGGAAAGTGGAATTCTCTGGGTGCAGCTGAACAACTTCCTTCGTTGACAAATAAACCCATGTACTCCATTACTAAAGGACACCTACACACCAGCTCAACTCCATCTACCTCATGTATGTCATGTCCCAATTACGCTGATATTCTATCATCAGATGCGACTATTCCAGAATCTGATGCAGATATACCTGATGTACTAGAGCGTGAATCACGATACCAGGGCCTTTCTTCACCTATTCAATCTTCTCCACTATCTATCACCATGCACTCATCCCCTCCAGTGCCTTGTCAAAAGTTAGACAACACACCGGCCGCTGCCAGCAGTATCACTTCATCGCGAGTGCGATCTCGACAAGGAAAGCTCCAATCAGCAAATGATAGCGGCTACTTTTCTTCTCTAGACTCATCAGCTATTCGAAGTGACCGTAGAAAACTCCACTCTGATGTTGATAACCCAAGATTGAAACGCGGGCGTGCTGAAGAAGAAATAGCACGGTTACGTGGCCCTCCATCTGAAAGTCCTATTAGAGACCGTCATAATTATATGCAAATTTCATCGCCTGTTCGACGGAGTACAAAATCCGATATTTCTAGCATGCTACCTCCCCTGACGCCGGCCGTTAGGCTACGCGCCCCAATTCGTCCACCACCGTCAGCATCACCAAACACTAATCTGCGCCTACATCGAGATCGAGTTCGTGAAATGGTTGGCTCACCCCTTCGTGGCATGACCATACTAGAAGATGGGTTTCCGTGGAGTCCTGCTTTTCATTTCGAAGAACAAAGCCATACACCTATGAGTAATTCCGATTTTGGCACAAATTGCGACATATTCCACAACTCCTCTGGTTTACTGGCCATTTCTTGTAATGGGTCCCCGGAAATTAGGGCTACCAAACGCCAGCGGCATGAATCTTCTAATTCGGGTTATGTAGAGAATAACTCAACAAATAGTATTGATTTAGCGTCGAGGTCGCACTCACCAAAGGTCACAATTAACTTTCCTCAAATCGGCGAGGTCAACAAGCTGGATTCCTCTCGCATAAGATTAGATATTTCACCACTCCGAAACACGTCTTACAACTTAAGTTCCCCAACCAAGCCTAATGGACGATTTCTTCCAACACTTTCTGTAAACCTCTTCAACTTACCAAGAGCAAGCGAGAACCAGTCCGAAAACGATGCTGGAGAGGAATGGGATATAATGAAAGGGTTCCAAAAAATTGGGACAGGAAGATCCAGCTCTAAGTTGAGCAGTAAAGATAAGCCAATTGTAAAGAATCATAGCAACAAAAGAAATTTAGCCACTCGGTTCTAGAGCATGTGGCACTGAACAGCTAGCAAAGTATGTTTGCTTAAACCTACTTTAGTCGGATGATGAACATGCTGGTATTGATTACTCTCAATAATGTTCACGCGCCTACCGTATGCGGCAATATTATATTGTCTATTAAAAGCATCTGTGGAGAACAAACAAAAAAAGACGCTAAAGCCTAAAGTATAGGCAGTGGGTACTTAGAGTGCGTCATGTAAATGAAGTTGATTCCAAGACTTTTCTCGAACCTTGGATAGGATCTCTGCGTGACAGATCAGTATTCGTCGATATTTTCGTGCTCATCATGTCGCTCGATGAGTCTAGGGTTGGAATAGTTGATGCTATTATTTGTGGGATAACGGGATAAATTCAGGCGTTTTCTGCACTTAATCATGGAGGGTTTTAAATTTGACTTTCGTGCACAGAAAATGATGCAATGAGTCGATGAGCCAAAACTTTATTGGTTTTTCTTCTAAGTAACCTAAAATTAGTTAATTCTTTCTCATTGCGAGACATAATTCAGTGTATGTCTTCATTGGTGAATTTGTCTTCTTTCTATTTGCGTGGTCTTCGTTTAATTCGAGACAATAAGAGTGACCATCGATAATGATAGCAATCAAACCCGGACTGTAAGCGTCGTAATCAAATCGTGGAGGTACATCGCGATTGACATCTCCCTCTCATTTTTGTGCATGTAACCAGAACCTTCGTCTTCAGTAATTATGTCTTTAATTATTGCAGTGATTCAATTTAAACTATTAGCAGTTAATTATAATGCGTACCAAACTTGGTAATTGTTCAGGTTCATACCAGACCTCCGAGGCGAGCTGATTATGATTACAACTAGAGTTTGTGAATCACATATCAATATTGATAGGATACTGTATCGCTTTCATGGAATGGGTGAATTTGATGGTGAAGAATTTTGGATTAGTGAGACTTATTTGCTCCAGTGAGTATTTGTAAGGATATTGAGTTCGAGTGTGAAGTACGTGATGAGTACGATTAAAAACTTTTGCTACGACACGATAGCGAGTTTGGTGGCTATATGAGAAAATAAATTGGTCCTAGTGTGTTGACATTCAGCTGCTCTAATCGTTGTGGTGGTTGCCATAAGTTACCAAGGGCACGGAGCGCAGACATATAGCCCGATTCACAAGGCTCAAGTCCTCACATTCCTCAGCCTTGAACTCTACAGCATTTAACCGATTCACACGTGACACGACTGACTCTCTTCATGTCATACTCACCGGAGAGATATAACACAAATAAATTATCCAGTTGTCCTGATTGGGCGCCTTGAGGCCGATGCAGGTTTTATCGGAAGATATGTACTTTTAGTTGGATAACTCAATTTGACATTTAGAATACCCACACCCAGATTTCATTTGCAGATACCACTTGAGGTTAACCCTTACGGTGTACAACCTCTTCCGTGCATACCCACCAAAGGGAAAAGCGTGAAAGACATGTGGCTATCCGAGTGAGCTTTCATCATCCCGCAAAATACAATTCCATCACGAGAAAGAATTGTGCATGGTCGTACTGGATCCGAACCAGCTTTCTTCTGTCTTAAATGGGGCAGGTGTTCAAGCTACCAAGATTCTAATCGGGAGAATGGACTGAATGGTATACCACTGCACCATCTAACCCACCGAAAAGGTGTAACCGTAGAAGAAAACCAATCACCTGATCACGATGTCCTCTATAAAGCTGGAAGTGAAATACTCCCTCAGAGCCAAGTCTAATTATATCCAGCAATGCCAAAAAAGTTGGCTCACGGCGCAACAGTTCAAAACTCTGCAACAAATTAAATTTCATCTCTTCTAATGAGATCGACTCGCACCAAAGCCTTATCAAGTTTACAAGTACGACATATTACATCCTCCTTCCCATGACCATCCTTCTCGACTCAGTCTCTGGCCTCCACATACACGGCCGCATGAATATGAATGCCCGCCGGAGGAGACTGGCCGGGCGCAAACGTAGGAAGTAGTTGTTAGGGCGAACGTGGGAGAAATCAGGGAATGTGTAAAGACTCGAAACGCCGGAGATTCCGCAATTTTGCTAGGGAATTCTCAAATTGAAGAGCAAATTGTGCGCCCCACCATCGATTGCGGGAGAGCAGACGAAACTTTAAACACCAGCCAGGGATGGAAGGTGCCGTGGTCAGCCTCCTTGTGGTGTTCCCCGGTATAGTTTGAGTAGCCTGGACACCTACTTCACTAGGGAGGAAAAGTCTGTAATCACACTCCGCACGGAGATTAGTCAATGTGTAATGGAGGTCTGTCCGGATAACTCAGGGTTTTCGAGATGTTTCCCTGGGTGTGTAGCCAAGGGTAAGGGCTGACATGGGGGGGGGGAGGAACTAGAAGAAACCGCCACAACTTCGCAGCGGTACTTGCAAATGAAATCCGCGGCAACAGTACTCAACTATTAAATTGAGACACTCATTCCACACTGAATCCCTGATCTTATGTCATAGCGAGATGGCTACACACGCGATTGAAATCTGATTCAAAAATAAAAGTGGGCCCCGATAGATCGGCCCGCATTTCCTACGAGGCTAGGCTCTTAGTAAGTGCTTACATAAGGCAATCATGGAGACTCGTTTTATTAGCACAGTCACTATGGAACGGCCTCGCCTTACAGAATGATATAGATCATTTTTGAAATTGCTTGCGTGTAGAGTCCTTGAGCCTCGTGTCCTGGCCGAGGTCCTGCGTACTTGTGCATTAGATTTTCATGCAACATTATGATAGATCTGGATCAAGCGACTTTTGGAAGACAAATTTCTCGTCTGCAGAGAGCTCACGGCTGCATGGTTTTCGAGTGGCAGGATTATCCTCTCCATCCTCTGCGTCGCGATAGTAGCGGCTCGTAAAGCCACCGTTGCTCTGCAAATATCAGCGTCAACGGTCTCGCATGTCTGTGGAAGGCCCGGCTCTTTCTCGAGGACTATGCCTCCTCTTTGAAGCACATGGCCTCAAGCTGAACGACCGTGGCTTTCAGCGCAAATCTAGAAGGAGGAGAAAGGCATGATCCATCTATGGTGGTCCTCCGCCCCTTTATCACTTTGATCTGTATTTCCTCCATTGTAATGGCCCCCGAACTGGTCGGCATCCTCGTCTGGAAATTAGCTCGTCAAACACAGACTTCTGGGTCTCGTGCCGCCAAGGTTTGTCTTAGCGTCTCCCTCATTTCGTAGCTCCTTAATCGAGAGATAGCGAAAGGTATGTTTATTGAACAACTTGGGTATATGACAATCTAGCACATTGGGCTCCTCTCTGACCCAGATCACACCTATTACAGTGCTCCTATCCTCTTTTGTTACTTGACAGATCATTGATATATTCCCCTTGATGAATACCTATTCAGCCCGGTGTTTACCCGTGGAATTCGGCCACCTTTTCCACGGAACCTTCTACCCAAAAAAAAAAAAAAAAAAAAAAAGGTAGCAATGGAAACTGCGTGCGCGGGAAAAAGTCTCAAAAAACCTGCAGCCCCAGTCAGGCGAGGCCTAGACACCGGGACCACATGAGGTGCGCATATTCATCTACATCTCCCCTCTTTGTAACAGTCGAGGCCAACTTGATCCAATCCACCATCTCCGTATCGGGTGCTGGGTACGCTCCGCAAACTCATCGGATGGCTCCTCCTCCATGATCAAGAGTTGGTAATGAAAAGGACTTCGACCCTACCAACTGATCTGATGGTGGATAGCTTCAAGATAGTGTTCAAAGGGAATGTATTGAGAGATGAATACGATACAGACGGCGAAAGCGATTGGGAATGCCCATCAAAGTGAGGACTTTGTTACTCAATCTCGGCTTGCAGACTCCACAGTGAGAGCTGGAGGTTCGCAGGGGACACCACTGATGGGTGTTGAGAATAGTCCACCTCGTTCGACTTGAAAAACAGAATGTCTCGGGGATGTTAGAATAATTGGGCTATCGAGTAGGCCAGGTTATTGGCACACACGTGACTAAAAAAGCTGTACTTAGTTTTACTTTGCTAGTTACTTGGATGAATGCGCTCTGCAACCTCAATGACTGAGGGCTCATCGTCTCCTCAAAAATCCCGGTATCTAATTTTGGAAAGATGAAGGAAGACCTATATATTCAACTTGGGAAATTCAGCCTATCCACACAGCTATGAGGTAGAATCCAACTAGTCTCGCGTGTATATCACACATAATAATCCCTATCCACCTTCCATCTACCATGACGAGGGAGTGTACAGGGCAGTGCGTAAGCATCCATACGTATATGCAACAGGAGGTGTGGTTAGTGCATCGAAGAGACGCGCAGAGAGGATCGATCATGTCGGAAGCCTCAGCCCAAATATATGGCGAGTGAGTTGAAATCTCCAAAGCGAGGGCTGATCTTTCTTTAGCCCAGCGATTCTTTGGGTTCCATGCATTGCATCTACATGGCATCGGCTCTCTACACCAGCTTGACCTTCACGGGCTCTTCGCATCAGACAGCTGCGGTATATCGTGGACCAGGATTTAACATATAGGACCAGTAACCTGCAGCGAAGCAGCTAACGTCTACGTCCAATATTTCTCAAATTCCATCACTTCTTTAGTCTCGTCTCCATCACGGCATATCTCGACTTGACATTTTGCCATTTGTCAGGCTTCCACTATTTGGGCTAAGCCAATCATCTTGACCAAGTCTTTGCTCGCAAATTTAACTACTACAACTGCTACTGCTACTGCTACTACAACTACAACTACAACTTTCTCCGGCTCATCTTAAATTCGTATTTTAGTCCGTAACATTTTCCTTTGCTGGCAACTTTTGTCCGCGAATGGTTCCATGCCGTTTCAGTTCATTGATTTTGCGTTATAGATGCCTTTGCAACTTGTTATCTATAGCATCTTAGCGTTATGGGAGAGACTGCTGAGGCTATTTTTGGCTGCGCCAGCACCGAATCCGTCGACACGTGCTATCTAACGCTAGTTACCACCCGGACGCCTTTCATGAGGCTGGTAATTAACGCTGCGGCTCGACAGGCAACGACATTGAGGTATAATCAAAATATTATGAAATAACATTCATGAAGTGTGTCGTCACCATTGACCAAATGCGATATTTCCTTCGTCTTATTATCATTTCCAAAAAGTCTACGCTTGTGCTTTTGCAATCAAAATATTCACGTCGGGATTTTTTGTTTGCTGATTTGGGCTCATAATAGTTTTATTTCACGGTGAAAATTAAATGGGAAATTTCGCTCATACTACGGGACTGTGTGAGAATTTAGGATTGAATATCTTCAATAATTCAGGGAGCTAGCACAACTGTGAAAATGTATTTAATAAATAGATAGACTATGAAGGAAGGAGAAAATTAATACTGGCTCTATCTTGTAGTTTCATCTTCGTCCCAATTATTTGTAATACCCCTGATCAGGATCTGTACTTTCTACAAAATACCCCTGACTGTGTCCTGGATGGTCTCCGTGATAAAATTTCTGATGAGACTCTGACATTCTATTCATGTAAGCTCCTTCGCCGAATTCGACATTGGGTTGCGGGTCAGGATCTTCATGGTGGTGGGAGTGAGGTACATCATCAAATCTAGAATGAAATCCTCCATCATATGATGAATCTGAATCAATTCTATCACTTCTGTGATGTACTGGAACGCTTCTTGAATAAAAAACTCCATCCACTTCTTGAAATGGCTCTTTGCCCGATTTTGAATGGGAACCCTCGCCGCGGTGATGATGTCCAGAGTGATGATGTCCAGAGTGATGATGAGGTGCAGTATTATATTGTGGTCGAGATTCTCTACTAGGCTTTCTTTGACTTGTCTGAGAAGTTTCTTGAAATGGGTTTCCATCAGATAGTGAGTGAGGACTTTTACCAGATCGTGGAAGAGGTACCTCACGATGTGACGAGTGTGTATCTACATCAGGTTTGGGAAATGATCCTTCATTGACTTCTAGATGGGGTTTCGGACTATCTCCTAGGTTAACCTTCTGTTGAAGTGGACTTTTGTCTGCTCTCATATCTTTGCTAAGGTTCAATGGCTTTATTAAAGGTGATGACGATTGTTTTTCTGGTAGACTGTTCTCAAGTGGTTGTCTGCAGCCAAGTGACCCAGTCACAACTGACATGTGTAAATTACGAAATTTGATATCGCTTCTTATGTTTTGATACTGTGATGATATTGAAGCAGTCTTAGTTAAAATATTTGGCAGTGCTTTATTGTTAAGTTGATCACTTCTTCCAATAGCCTCAGATCGACGTCTGAATTCACCCATATTTGAATCGAATTGTAACGCCTCGTATATAGCTTTACCATTGTTCCATTCATTTCCAATTATTGTGATTGGAAACCATAAATTTCTGGAATTGTCAAATTCGAAAACGTGTATATGATATTGATACCAGGCCAATCCCCATTCTTTACCCTGAGGACCAGGGATTTTTAAAATTTTGGAATCGAAAACAACTTGTCCCATGTCAATTGCTGCATCTGCTTTAATTTTAATACGCTCCATTTCCTTGCTCGGATTTAGACAGCTGTAATCTTCGACAAAAGATATATAGCGTGTAAAGGCTAATCTAGTCAGAGATCCGTCTGAACAACGACCCATAATAGCTTCCGACTTTTTTAAAAACACATTACTTTGCGGGTTTACTGCTAAATTGTTGTTCCACGCGTTTTCTAAATGTGACAAGCAGGCTTTTGTTTTTGCTCTTACTTCTCTACTGGCAAAAGTTTTGGCCGACATGGTCGTTATAACAGGCATCCCTCTGGTAATAAATAATCTCATATCTACATGATTCATTTTATTTGAACAATACATAGTTGACGATGTGCCCCTGAAATTAAATTCAGTGCTTGATTTGATAATGGCCGGAGGAAATCCACTGGGAAAGTTTCCGATCGGACTAATTTGATAGACATTATAATTTTCATTTTCCTGGTTATCAACTAGTATTAATTGTTTTGGTGTAGGTAAAGTGGTGGAAAAAGATCTAAGAAACGCCAGGATGCATTTTTGCGTGGTCATTTTTGGCGTTGCTCAGATTGTAGGGGTGAGAGTATGGGGAGCATTATGACTAAATACGTAGAGGCAGTCATTTTAGCTCCTGCACTTGGCGAAGGATTAAGTGAGAAATAATCTTTGACCAGGCTTCCAATTGGAAAGGCCATTTGCAAATTTTTGAGCATTCGTTTATAGTATGATAGAGTACATTGATCCCTTTGTGCTCCAGCCATGATTCCCTGAAGCCGGAAGAGACGGGGTGAACAACGCCCAAAAGAGAAAAGCATATATCTTGGTCAAGCTCGTCCCTGTAGTTCGTAGATACCTGGAAATATTTCCACCAAGTTGAAGACAGTTCGAGCTGAGTCGTGTATGGCGATGGTAATTGTTTGATTTAATTTGAAGATTATATGCTTACAGTCTCAAAAATCATTCTACTATAAGACCAGTGGAGTTGATGGGGAGCCCCGGCTTGGTACTCATTTCGTTCACAGTGCTCGAGTCATTTTTAGAACATTACTAGGAGGAAGCGAAACAAAACAAGCAAGGATATTAAATAAAAGCGGCATTTTCTACACAGCAGAAATTCTTCGATGGCGACATTCCGGTAGGCGATGAAATGGTCGTATTTCCTCCTGGTTCGAGCTATTCCATGACTGAAGTTATTTTTGCACCAGATTTTAATTGCGTGTGCAGCTATCTATGACTGAAGTTTAAATGTTTGTATTGAGGAGCCAAGTATCAGATGACGGCGAGGTGTTTAAAACATGACATCCTTCTATCCGAGATATTCGTCAGGCTGTAAAGATAAGCAAGAGAAGAGTTCTGTTGAGATTGGTGCCATTTAGAAATAAACACCATCATCGACATGGAACTTGAAGAAGACGAATAGAATAGAATTTAATTCAAGTCTCTACTGAGTCGAAGAAGATGAATCTCTGTAGGTTTATTCACGATTACTCAAGCGTTGTCCACCATTCAATTTCCCAAAAAAAGCGAGGGATAGTGTCCTTCTTATAATGATGATGTGTTAAACTTGGGATTACTCGCATGTTGCAACTTTGGTCAGACTACGTTGTCTGATGGGTCGTGATAAAATTTTGAAGGCTTTTTCAGGTTGGGGTCTCTACTTGTATGTTTGAGTAGACATCTCAAGTAAAACCACAACGTTTCTAGAGAGGTTTAACCTTGGTACACTGTGATAAGAAGTTTTTGCGCTTCGTCATGAAATGAAGATACTCGCAAGAGATGTGTCTATAATTAGAGATTTCATATGAATTTGAATAGGACGAGAAGAATATACTTCAATTTTGAAATCTTCATATGGTTCTCAGTGTCTATCATTATCGGATTATGTAGCACTCTGCTAGATTGGAGCGACGTGACAAGCAAGGGATGGAACGAAAATGGAGAAGAGAATTGACGTGGAGTGGAGATAACGAATCGTTACGATTAGTATGACTGATAACTTATGGTTTGGACGAAGACAAGTGGAATCTAGAGAGAACTTAAGGTGACCAGAGATGACCCATGGTGCTATTTGTATTGCTCAGGTCCTGAGCTAAAGCTACAAGTGTTATACTCAGCTATGAAGTATTGTAAATTTAATGGCTCGCGCATGGGTAGTTATTATGGCAGTGTGGCATTAAAGCACATGAAGGAGATCAAGTCTCTACATAACAGCATCACAAGTGGTACTGAGTGAAATCTGGAGAAGAATTGTTTATATAGGACAAACGGCATAGCGGCTAAGCTGGGAGCTATCGAAGATGAGTAGTCTTTGTCTACTACGCACTGCGTGCAGTTGGGTCTGGTATGTCAAGATTTCAACAATGGGGACCTCCAAAATTGCAAAATTTTGTAGCGGCTTCGCATCCCACTGAGGACCCAAGATTGACAGACCTCTTGATTAGTAAGAGGCTCTGATAAATTATAATGCTTATGTAATGTAGCTCACGGTGGAGTCCGAGCGCAATATAAGGAGTACTGTATTTAAATATACGATACCCTGTATTAATAAGAAATCAAGTCACATCTAGTCTTAAACTCTACTATATATATTGGTATTTTGGAGCCACGAGACACCCGTAACCTACGCCATCATAAAGCTAAGCTTATCTCACTTTTCACACATACTAATCCATCAGGAACCTCACCGCGGCGACATACACAATTTGGCCGCCATCCCAGAATTCTTTGTCATGGGGGGCAGCCACGAGTTTTTTTGTATCAGATTTTAAATGCGTGTGCAGCTATCTAGCTATGGTACAATATCAGAGAAGTGTATAATAGATGACTCACTTTAAATGAAGAGCACCCATGCCTCGGATTTCATTTGCAAGTACCACTGCGAAGTTATGGCGGCTTTTTCTTCACCCCAAGTCAGCCCTCATCCGTGAATACCCACCCAGAAGAACGTCTCAAACACCCTGGGTTATCCAGACATGCCTCTGTCATCCATCAACTTTTCTCCGCGCGAAATGTAATCTGAGATGTCTCCTTCCCAAGTGGAGTAGGTGCCCAGGCTACTCAGACTATACCAGAGAACACCACCAGGAGGCGGATCACAACACCTTCCATCGTTTGCTTGTGTTTATAGTGTCAGTTGCACTCTCGCAAGCGAAGTCTTGGCGCGCACAAAGTTCAATTTGTAAAACTTCTTGCAAAAACTCGGAAGTTTCACGGTCTTCGAGGTTATATCCTTCCTTCGTATCATCTTGTAAACTTGACCTAATGCCTCTCACGTCCATCCCAAAGAACTGTCTCCAAGATTTGTGCGCCACGCTTTGCTTCCTCCGTCGGGTATAAATATCGGCGTGGGCGTGTATTTGGTGGTCAACTGAGGCCAGAAAAGGTCAACGAGAGTTGTGGTCATTGGGGTGAGGATGTGCTTGGTCGTACTTGGAGACTTGATGAGGCTTAGGTATGAGTCGAACTCGTTGGGAGCGAAAAAATTACATGGCGGAGTATTTTTAATCATTGTTTCGTGGACCAATTTCTTTGATATTGCGAAATATGACTCAACTTGGCACTGGGATAATATTTCACTCCCGGTTTCGTAGAGAACAAGCGAACAGGTGCTACATTTGTGTGCTCTGCATAATGGTTGCACGGCGTTGAACCACACCCGATTTGAACGGATAACCTTTCGATCTGGAGTCGAACGCGCTACCGTTGCGCCAGCGGTCCTTGTTTACCCTAGATGTATTAGCGTTAATATTATTAAACATTTGTAATACTTATTGTATAACATCACGTATATTAGTAAAGGCGGTAAGTCCTCCATATAATTTGGAAATAAATACCTCTAGGAAAACAGATTTTCGGATTAAGAATGGGAATTATCACCTATTTATTTATTTTAAGGGCTTAAATCTTATGATACACTGTTTTTACCACAAGTGGGACGGTGGTCGATGTAGCCTCAAGACCGCTAGAATTGTTGGTTAGGCTTCAGGTTTGTGGTCAAACCTGACTCATTGAAGATCTGGAAGCCTGCGCGTGCGGTAGATTTGTGAGGAAGAGAGCATGTCGGTTTCGGTGCGGTGCTCCTGATTTGGGACCGATTTGATCAGTTGAGAAAATGCCTCGTCACGAAATAATGTCGTGATCTGAACGATCGAACGAACGAAGTACACGAAGTATATTCTAATTTTCTAAAATAATGATATGACGAAGTAAGGGCATCTGTAAGAGAAAGATATTTTATAGGGGTATGACTTCGCCAGCGTTAACGCAGTGGTTTCTGCCTCCGAGGTAAGTTCAGGAGCGGTAGATGTGTGATTTAAATACTTGGCAAAGTATTTGGAAATTTTGAGGGCTGTATCGATAATTTATAGACGGGATGCCCTGTTGTTAAAGTTGGAGCCTCAATTTGATTATAGGGCCCAACTTAGCCGGTTGCCATATCATTAATGACACGACGGTGGTCCTCAAAGCAATTAGATATCTAAAGATCATACTACAAGGCATGTATCATATCTTTAGTGACAGCCAAGCTAGTCTCATAAGGATCAAGAATAAAGACAGTCGCCATTTACACCAAATCAGACAACAGGCAAAGGATTGTTCATTACAACTCTCCTGGTACCCTAGTCATGTTGGAATAGTAGGCAATGAGCTTGCTGTCAACTTGGCTAAAGTAGCCAGCAAAAAGCGGGTGCTGAAAACAAACCAATTTATTTCACATTCATTTCTAAATTAAAGGGCTAAGGAGCTGCCTTTGCAAGCTTGGATCCAAGATTGGACCTCAGAACTTCTCCATGAAGAAGAAAGAGAAAGCTCTGGGCTTGACAAATTTTACGGGATATAAGCCCAAATGATAACACCAATATTTTCCACTGATCCACTAAATTTACAAGGTCACCGTAGAGCAGTAGAATCCTCATATTTTCAGGTAAGGACTGGCATTGGAAATGCGAGGGCTTATTTACACAAAATTGGAAAGACAAAAGATAGCCTCTGCAATTTCTGCAATAAGGGAAAACAAACCGTGCAACACTTGATTCTCCATTGTCAGAAATTCAAAAAGGAAAGAAAAGACACATTCAAAGATTTAGAGCCCCTTAATCTTCCAATAATTTTGAGAAAAGAGGAAAAGAAGTATTACTTGAATACTTGAAAATTCCTAGGTGCATAATTCCGCACAGAGGGGGTTAACTAGGACAAGAAATAGTAGAAATTTAGATAGAAAAATATTAAGGATTTAAGTCCGAATACGTAGGATAGGTGGATTATTGTTATATATATTGAGCGGATTGGTTTTCCGAATCTTGTGGCTGTTAGGCACAGATTATATCACTTGGTGAAGCGAGTGGGAAAGTGAAGGAGTCTGTAAATCTGTCGTGGAGAGTTGTTAATTACTCCCACTCGGACACAGAGTGCTATATAAACTATATTTTGTAATAATAAAATCTAGTGGTTGGTATTTACGTCAAAGCGCATTAACATTAACCTCACAATTAATGGGAGATTAGTGACGTGTATTCTACACATCCCTGTCTTTACCATAATTGGAAGCACCA